TGACTCTGTCCTGTTTTCCAACAAGCACTTTTCCCTTTTCACTAAACTCTAAGTGTCTCTCTCCCTATTATTATAAGGTTACCATAGATGTCCTGCCCTCTGGGATAGGTCTAGGTCAGTGGTCAGCAAACCGCGGCTCACGAGCCACATGCGGCTCTTTGGCCCCTTGAGTATGGCTCTTCCACAAAATACCATGTGCAGGCGCGCACGTACAGTGCGATTGAAACTTCGTGGCCCATGAGCAGAAGTCGGTATTTTGTGGAAGAGCCACACTCAAGGGGCCGAAGAGCCGCATGTGGCTTGCGAGCCGCAGTTTGCCGAGCCACAGTTTGCCGACCACTGGTCTAGGGGAATTTAAGTGGGAGGGGGAAGGATGAGTAGAGGAAAGAAAGAGAGAGAGAGAGAGAGATCCTCCCAACCCCAAGAGCTGTTGCTATCAATTCCAGTGTATTCAGTGCCTATGGATTAAAGTGCTGCCTGCAGCCGGGAGAGAGCTGAGTGCTGGGGTAATGGCGGGAGCATGCAGTCCCTCCTCGTAAAGAGCTCCCCATGGATATTGACATGGAACTCGGCAACGCCAACACAGTCTGAAAGAATGGATGCAGTGGGAGCTGGGGGCGAGCACCTCGAGCAGCCGGGTGAGTGAAGGAGGCTGCCATGAAGAAAAGAAATCTACAGGAAATCTGCAGGGGAGCGTGGCAGGGAAGAATTCTAGCAGAGGGAACAGAGCAATAACACAAGAAAGAGCCTGGGTGCTGGGCCAGCGTGGCTCAGCGGTTGAGCGTTGACCTATGAAAGGAACAGAGCAAAAACACAAGAAAGAGCCTGGGTGCTCGGCCAATGTGGCTCAGTGGTTGAGCGTCGACCCCCAGTCAGAGCACATGCCCTAGTTGTGGGCTTGATCACCAGTAGGGGGCGTGCAGGAGGCAGCCGATCCGTGATTCTCTCTCATCATTGATGATTCTATCTCTCTCTCCTTTCCTCTCTGAAATCAATAAAAATATATTTAAAGAAGAAAGAGCATGGGTATCACAGGAGCAGGGAAACAGATCAAAACAAACAAATCAGCGTAATGAGTAAGGCAGAAGCAAGAAGCAAGACCCCCTGAGTAGCCTAAGATGAGGGGAAGCAGAAAAACAAGGCCTTGGTCTTAATGTAGCACATGGACTTCAGATGTTTTCCTAACGTCAGTGAGAGTGATTGAGGAGGGTATAGAGTCAGGCAGGAAGGCACCCCCAGATGTGCATTTTATTTTTTAATATGTTTTTATTGATTTTAGGGAGAGAGGAAGGAAGACGGAAAGAGAAACATCAATGATGAGAGAGAAACATAGATTGGCTGACTCCTGCATACCCCCTATTGGGGATTGAGCTGGAAACTTGGGCATGTACCATAACCAGGAATTGAATCAGTGACCACTTGCTTCATGGGTTGACACTCAACTACTGAGCCACACTGTCCAGGTCAGAATGTACATTTTAGAAATCCCTCTGGCAACAGTGGGAGATGGCCGTGGGAGCAACACTGGGTTCAGGGGTCACAATGAGGGGGCTGCAGCAGCAATTTCCATGGGAGTTCCCGGTGACTGGGACTAAGGTGCCCCAGTAGGAATGGACTAAAATAGACAAGTGAGAAAGATATTCATAAGGGACAGACAACAGGCATTGGGCACAGTGATATTGGGCCTGGGGACAAGGGAAAAGTGACCCAGAGTGCCCAGGCATTGGCTCACAAAACCAGGAGGGCGACGGGGCCTGTTCACAAAAGGAAACACCTGAAAGGAAGCACGTTCCCAGGGACAAGAAGAGCTCGGCCTGGGACAGCCAGGCCTTTCGGGGCCTGTGGACAGCCAGCCCTTTCAGGGTCTGCGGACAGCCAGCAGACACGTCTTCCAGGCGGCTGGGTTTGTAATTCAGGAGAGAATGCGGCCTGGAAATTTCCATCAGGGAGTTGTCACAGGGAACTATGATGAAAGACAGAGAAGCAGACAAGATCTCACCATGACAATCCACTGGGAAGAGAACCTGGAAACAGAATCCGAAGAAAACCAATATGGAAGGCACACGTTGACCGAAGTGAGCCCACAAAACATGCCAAGAGGACTAGCCAGGGAGCTGAAGGGGAACCAGGAGGCGCAGTAGACTGGGAGGGGAAAGAAAGAAGACTTATCACAAGAAGGAACAGGTCATCAGCTGTGCATCAATGGAAAGTCAACCCGACCAGTGAGAACAGACACCAAGAGAGCAACGGAGGGGGTGGGGCACTGTGTGCTCTGAGTTCGTTCTAAAATAAAGGGTAGGCTCACTGCTGTAACAAATAGCCACGACAATTCTTGGTGGCTTACCACAACTGTATTCATTTCTCCCTCACATCACAGTCCAATGTGGATGTTTGAGAGGGGACAACTTCTACTCTACACAGTCATTCGGGGACCCGTGTCTCCTTCCATCCGGGGGCTCCTCATCGGTTAGAGTCTGGGAGCTCCACCATGCATCCCCGCATACGGCCAAGTGGGCAATGAGGGTGCATGGAAAATCATCACATGGAGTGTCCATTGAAAACTGTGTTAATGGTTTCAGGGGCTCACCTGGCACCCACTTACCAAACTTCCACCCACATGCCATTGGCCAGACTCGGTCACCTGCTCCCCCCGATCAAAAATGTTGAAATAGAATTATAACCAGCTGGCTTCCAGAGTTTGCTTTTGATGAATATATTCTGCTTTTGGTGATACTGTGTTTGTTTGTTTTTCCAGTGCAAAAGCAGGCAGGAGGGGGTGGGAAATAACAGACGAATGAAACAATTAGCAAACAATATGTTGTGATGAAAAGAAAAGTTAGGCTCATCACCAACCTTCAGCTGAGCGGCCCCCTTCTTCCTTCTTTGTCGTAATTGCCAAAAGGCTACAAAGAGCAGGTGCATTTTCCTTCGTTTACTTTTAGCTCCTCTTTCCAGTGTCTCAGAGTCAAGGTGTTCTCTGCCTTATACTTCAAAGCGGGGAGGGATGTCAGGGAACTTATTCTCCCTGGTGGTTGCTCAAGCAGTAAGTCTTTTATCCTGGCAGACAGGGGAGGGCTGGGAAGGAGATGCGCAAAGTTGCATGTGGATGTTTGAACCTTTTGACGCTGTGTTTGGAAGCCCTGGAAATAGTGTGTGTTGATTATCCTCAAGAATGCTGAGAACAGCCTGTTCTTCTGTCCCCCGGGGCAGAGGGAGATAGGACAGGTGGGACAGAACACAGCCTTCCGAGCAGATGCATTGTAAATGTTTGTGTACAGATTGGATCTGGACATGGACAGAGGGGGTTTTTTTTTAAAAGCTACTCCATAATAAACCCTGAGCTGGTTTCAACGAGTTCCTCTCAGACACCAGCAATGAACTCTCAGATCCTCCCTCCCAGAGACCCCGGAAGTCCAGGTCATAGGCAGATATGTAATGCACTTCTTGATCTTTGCAGCCATTTGTTCAATACTCTTAACTTCAGGGCCAAAATAAGTTGTTTATTATTTACAGCAAATATATATATTAAAGATCATCACAACTTGTGTTCAGTTCCAAGGATGGCAACTTACATTCTCAAAAGTGAATCCCCACCGGAGGCGTGAAGATTAACTCATTTGCTTAACCCTCTGAGCACAGTGCATAGCCACCTGTCCATGGTCAATCCACGTGGGCTATTCCCATTTTTATTTTTGCTGCTGGAGCCTGCTGTCCCTGGCACATGAAAGGGGCCCGGGATGCAAAGTTGTGCAGAGCACAAGCCAATCCACAAGGCGTTCACTTTGCGAAGAGGAAGGAAGTCAGCACAGGTTGGCACTAAAACAGGATAAGAGACCCAAGAGCGGGTACAGCCTCCAAGGGGCACAGAGAGGAAGCCCCTGCTCTCTCTGGGGAAAGAGGGGACATTCGCAGCAAAGCTGCTGCAGCCAGTCGTCTTGAAAGGGCAACCAGATGCCTAAGAACTCTTTAAGGCTGAACTTTACAAGCTTTTTTAAACCGTCGATCTAGAATTCCATCTGTATGAAAGTTACCTTTCGGCATCCAGTATCCACCCAGAGCACATTCACTCATGAACTCTCCATCCAGAAATGCAATCATTAATTACTGCTGGACACTGTTCTCGCACGAAAGCTAACAAAACTTCTTTAGCAAAGATGGTGCTGGGCTTCAGAAACACTATGATGTCCTACCCTTGGCATTTGTGATGCACCCTTTTCATAGACAGGAAAGGGGCTGGCCAGGGCTCAGACTTTCCCGTGGCATTTCACACGGGGCTCCTTTTAAACCCAGCGCCAATGCCTGGAGAGGAGCCTCACGTCATAGGTGCAATTTCAAAGGCGAATGCACCTGGCAGGGAAAGGCCTGGGGAACCAGGACCAGCCCAGGGGCCATCAGGAACCCAGGCCCAGGGCCCCAGCAGGGCCCAGGTGCCTGCCTCCGACAATGTGGTTCCCAGCCACTGGCTGCCTCAGCGCCTGGAGTGCACCGGGGTCTCTTCCCTATCCCCATCCTCAGACTCAGCTTCATCGCTGGAGTCCTCACTCCCTGAACGCAAACTGCGGGCGGACAGGCTCTCAGTTATGGCGGGTGTTGGAGCTGGGGGCGCGGGTGCCGGCGTGTCCCTCGCGCGCTCCCGCAG